ATATATGATATACTTTTCCTAACAGAGAACTGTTCTAATGATTTCATTAGCAATTTAAAGAAAATGTTTTTGATATACAATCGACTCTCCTATAACACTGTTGATTATTCCGTTTTATATGAATTGCATGTTGTATGAGTCACTTAGATTTTATAAATACGTGTGCTGGGCTGTGAATGGCTCACATATTTGTAAAATCTAAGTGACTCGTACAACATAGAATTCATATAAAACAAAATAACCAACAGTGTTATAAGTAAATATACTGATAGTACAGTCAACCTCCCCTATAACTGTTTTAACCATGTAAATCAGTCATGAGCAAACTGACCCTGGGCTTCGGCAACACTATTTTATTGTCCTGTTTTCTGTCTCATGCCATTATGAAATACTAATTAAGGTGATATTCATGATGAAGAACATTAAAACTAAACTTAACTACAAAAAAGATAAAGACAAACTATATTTTACTAGTTTACACACCACTAGCATATATTATTTTAGTTCTTAGTGTATTGGCAGTTATGGAGTATGTTGGTTCGCAGCACACTTAAACCTACAACTCCACAAGAAAAAATGTATGCAGTCCATGCAAGCCTACAAAGCTCAGCTACAGCTGTCATCCAAAAAAGGTTACTCATCATTGATTTAAATATTTGAAATTTCAGAGGAATTCATTCAAAATACAATTAATCATAAAATTGTAATTTCAAATAAAATTATAGCATTTCTTTGAATTTCTTAAATATATTCTAAATTACAGAAGATTTTTATTTTTTATTTATTTTTACAAATAAATAAGAAAAGGCCCAAAGGACAATTGATATCTACCCCAAAAATTAACAAATATATATAAAAACAAAGACAAGTACATAAAATTAAAAATTGTATAGCATTTTTACATTTCAATTTAAAAAAGGAAAATTAAGAAACAAAAAAAATCATCAAAATTATTTAAATTTTGAAAAATACAATAAAAAAAAAAGGACATTTGAGTTACACTCAAATAAAAAAAATTGAGTGAACACAAAATGAAGGTCATAGGTCTTTCGAAGGGACATGTAATAATAGCTGGTCATAATAAATAAACCCATTAAAAAATAAAAATAAAGTGATCGAAATATTTGATACACTCAAAAAATGAAGGAAAAACCTAATTTAATCCTTGCAAAGTTAGGATTCTGATTATACAGTAAGTTAAAATTTACTTATCTTTTAATAACTTATTTATCAAGAGCTCTACAATTTTTTTCCAAAAGGGAAGGTGCATCTGTAGACCAAATGGGTAATTCATAATCAATGCAAGACTGAAAATTCGTCAATGCATTTTTAGATGAGATAAATGTGGAATATTATGTGTTTTTGTAAACCTAACAGCCAGAGATTTAACTATTTTATCAATATGATTTTTTAAGTTTAGTATCAAAGATTATTCCTAGATCATAATTAATAGGAGAGGAGTCAATGAAAAAGGTAGGTAAAGGAGGATTGCAAATTAAAGCTAAACATAATCTCAAGAATAATATACAAAAAACTATGGTTAACAGATTCAAATAGATTTTTTGCAAGTATATATCAGACTGTAGGATTTTCAGATTGGAACATCTCCCATTTATCTCCAA